AGATAGATAGATAGATAGATAGATAGATAGATAGATAGATAGATAGATAGATAGATAGATAGATAGATAGATGGATAGATGGATGGATGGATGGATGGATGGATGGATATATAACACACTTTTAAGTTTAAATATGCATCATTAACATTTTCTCTATCACTTTCTCAAATTTGGAGAATCAATAAAACATAAATCAAGCCTTGACTTGTAGCATTTGCCAATTTTTGAGGTGTCAACACACTAAAAATTTAACAATCCACTCTCCTAGACTGGTTCAAGCTGGCTCCAGCACACCTCTCCAACTCAAACGATTACACATTTAGAGGTATGAAGGATTTTAGAGATTGTATAGATATTCCAACCCTATTCACATTCCAGATGAGAAATTCACCCACAATTTGCAGTACTGAGGTTAATCTGAGATTAGCCTCACTAAGAAGATGGGTATTTTGAAGGCAATGGAAAAAAGGGAAAGAATGAGGTAATTTGGGCATCTGGGGAACTTTGGGTTAAGGTAAGCACGGACGGAAGTAAAGTAGCAGACTACGGGCTGTCAGAAGATACTGGATATCTGAGGAACTGGTGAGACAAGGAAACAGGAACAGGACAGTAATTTTAAAATGTGGACAAAATTATTAGAAGGCCTTACATTAGTAAAAAAGTAACAATACAGTTGGGCTTTTTAAAAAGATACATACATAATGGAAATTAAATTCACAATTTTAAAATTAAGAATAGGGAAAATAAAACTTTGGTAAATATAATAAATAATTTAAAATATATTTCAAAACCATATTATGGCTAATTAACTTGGGGTGAGGAGAGAAGAAAGCAGAAAAGAGAAAGACAAATAGAGAGGGAAAGACAGATAAAAAGGAAGTGTCAAAGTGAGGTGTTCTTAACTTTTTCATATCATGGACCCCTTTAGCAGTCTGGTGAAACCTATAGACCCCTTTTCAGGATAATATTGTTAAGTGCATAAAATATAACATATAGGATTATAAAGAAAACCAATTATATTAAAATACAGTTATCAAAATATTTTTTAAAAACAAGCTCATGAACCCCAGATTAAGAACCCGTGATCTATGTAAACTTTGAAATGTTAGTCTGGTAAAAATGCTCATACCATACTCTACTATTTACAAATCTTCAACTATTCTTCATCTTTAATCCTTCAGAAGTTTTAATCACAACTGCCCACCAAAGAAGAAATTATTCTCTTGGCTGCAGCAGCAGCGACCAGCACAATACAACTTCATCAGCCAGACTAAATCAGAGTCAATGTCACCTCGTCTCTGAGTCACTTTTCCTTAGAAGCTTTACAGGAATACTTTTTTAGAGACAGACTTTTACTAATTTGTATTTAGTCCCTTTCTGATTCCAAACACTTATTATTTATGAACACAAAGTAAATGCAGCCATCACAAGGTCCACATCTGCTGGCACTGAGATGGCTTACTTGGTAATATTATCAGATGAACCCAATTAGTAGTACAAGAAAACCACTTACAGAACACATGGCTAAACCATTTCTTAATACAAGTTGTTAGTGTAAAGAATGGTATGTTATATTTTTCCAAATGCTCTACCACTAATACACTTAGTGTTCAACTTCACTATAAAAGGTTCACTGCAGGAAACAGAAAAGATTTTGGTGTACCTTCAAATGGAGTGCAAAGAGATGATAATTATTTTTAATGCATAAAACGGTTTGCTAGGCATAGGAGTGAAATTTCAGCTATGTTTTTTTTTTAAAGTACTCATTTTAAAAGAATAATATCATTTAGAAAATCTGAATCACTTAGAAGTTACAACTTTCAGTCTGACCCAGAAAATAATAAGCAAAAGTAAAATCATAAGCAATAAGTAAAAACTATTAAAAATTATTAAAGCTATGTCAACAACACATCAATTTGGTCAATTCAGTCAAAATAGTTGCAATCAAATAATAGTCTTAAATATGCAAGTTGATCCATTTGAGCTATAAATTTCAGTGTGAAAGGCAAAAGAACCAAAAGCCAATCCCTACACAAAGCTAAGAAAAATATGAAATTATCATTAATGAGAAGCTAAAGTTGGAAAACTTATCCAAGATGCCTTTAGTTCTTTCTCCTTTTCTCTGACTATCCAAATCCTGTTACCTTCAAACCCCTTTCCTCCATTAAGATTTCCCAGATCACTTCAGTCTACAATGACCTTTTTCTCCTGGAAATTCATAGCACTTTGTGTCTCTATGTTCATTTGGCAATTAATCTTTTATTGCTCTGTAAAGTTTCTTGCATTGTTATTTAACTTTTCACGAAGGTATATTTTACAATTAAGTTGTAAGCTCTTTAAAGGTAGGGACTATGTTTTCTTACCAACCACAGTGCACAGTGCCTGGAATGTAGTAGGCCGTCAATAAAATTAAATTAAAGTGGTTGACATGCCATCTTAAATAAACTAACTTCAACTTAACCTTGTATCATAAACATATTCTTATACTAGAAACTGAGGTATATTGTTTGCAAAAATTCAGGTGAGTATAAAGCTTTAATGACTAAGCCACTCTTTTAGTAAAGAAAGGTCTATACCCTTTTAGAATTTTTGTGAATATTATGCTTCAATTTGTCAGTGCAGAAAAAGTTTTTATTCTAGAATTGTTCCCAAACTTTTAATCAAGGCAATGCAAGTACTATTCCTCCACCATAAAAAAAAATTTAAAAGCTAAACCTAAAAATATTAATAATATTTTTTCTCAAGAAGTCATCACTTTGAAAATAATTATTTAAGTTTCTTGCATTTCATATTGAAAAAATAGCTTTACACTTGAAATAACTGTTACTGAAAAATACTACCAACAAGTCAAAATTTGGAAAACAAAGAAAGCAATTTCAGAATTAAAAAATCTGTGAATTACCTTTTTATTTTCCCAAGAACACAAATTATATTAACACCTACTAAATTTTTCAACAGCTTTTTAAAAAGAGACAATGTATTTAAGTAGGTTAGCTGATACAAATTATACTCCTAAGAACAAGGCAGATACATGTTTCTTAAAAACTCAATGCCTCACATTTTCTAATTCTGGAAAAACCCCAATGAAAGCAAGAAGTTTATGGTTTCATTCTTGCATGAATTTTGATTAATCTTTGTGCAGTTTATTTTATAAACACATAATTTGCAAACTATAAGCTTTGAATGGAGATGAACCTTGAATAATTTTAAAATATCTGAATCAAAACTATTGAAATTTATTTGAAAACATTGATGTTCTTAAACATAAATTCAATAACAGTATTTGGGATGTTTTTACTGAAATCCCTAAATAAGTTCTTCTTGACAAAAAAAGGAAAAATTTATTCAACACAGTCTTGAAAGTTTCAGTTGCTTTATCTTAGTAAAATACATGTGGAAAGTAAAACTTCCATTTCTTAAAATGGAAGACAGAAGTTCTAGTTATATTTTTATATTTGAATATTCAAATTTTAAATGAAAGTTAAACTCAGAAGCAAGAATTATCAGATTTCAAAGAAGTAAAACATAGTAAAACACACTTGACACTAAAGTTACTTCATAATCTTTCTCTGATGATTAAGATCTTACAGTGCCTTAGTTTGTCATAATTATTAATTATCTATGATAGTCTGGGAAAAAAATCAGTTATTTGATCTTTCTGGTTATTTGGTTTCTGTGTACTGAGGATTTTGCTTAAGGCCACTCTTGGCACAGAGGACTATGTGCCTAAACGAGTAGGATGAGAATTCAGCATCTTGAGTTTAGAGAAAAAAATATATATATATATACATAAAAATAAATATAATACATATATATATGGATGTATACAAGGACTTCTAATTAGGTCACCACTACTGTTTTTCTTAAAACAATAGTTTTTGAAATCTAGTATTTATATTTTCATAGTACTTTTTAATCAAATTATAAGAATGGTAAAAAGTGGCACAGTAATTGCTATATTAAGCAATGACACTTTTTAATTGATATTAACTAAAATATTAGATAAATAAAATCAACAATAGCCCTATCCTTTTTGTTCTTTCAAACAAAAATGAAAAGACATTTTGATAATAAAATATATACAAAACTATTAATTTTAAAATTTATTTTTCTCTATGGTACAATAATACTTCATAATGAAACATGCTATATTTAGACATAAAAATTATTAAATAACATAATATTTCCTTGGTTCAACTCACTGCAGTTTAGGAAATAAATTTTGGCCACTTGATGAGACCAATTTGTTTAAAAGCAATCATTTCTCTGGGGACCTTTCGACTTCAATGGCCTCCTTCTTCTTAAGCCATGCAAAAACCGAGGACACTGTACCATCACCACTTTGTTGTGAATAGCAAAGGAAAGTAGCCCAGACAAAGCCACAGAGTCCAGTATACGCTGTTCTGAAGTAAATGGGAACAAAACTGAAGTTGGTAAGCTGTGGCAGAAAGAAAAAGAGTTTATTATTGGTGTTCTGTATAAATTGCACTAAAAAGTTAACACAGATAGTAGGTTTGAAACTCACCTGCACAAAAGGCCAGTACAAGAGACCAGTCTGCAACAAAGGAGAATTTTATTATTATGCCTTTCAATTACATGGATTGATTTCATTGCTCAGTTTACAAAAGGCTGGGAAGTACATGGCAGAGGCTAATCATGTGGTATTGAGTTTAGGCTAAGCTGCTCAAATTAGATCTCACTTGTTAACTAGAGAATGAAATAAACACAGTAGAAAAGGTTAAATTCTGTTTAGTCATACTCATACTCTGAGAACAGATGTTAGCCAGTGTCAACAATGAATACGTAAGGCAAACATTTCTTGAATACACACTAAAGTAGATATTGTGACATTACGCTGTAATATCTTATCACACATTTCAATTGACTCAGGAAAGTACTTATGAAATATGACATCAAATCACAGGAAAATATTTTGGAAACAAAAGGAGCTACCACTCCATGCAAGACTACCAAATAACTCTTTGATATGAATATAATGCTCTAAGAAGAAATTAAAACTACACTAAATTGAAATACATTGTTTACCTGCCTTCTTAGAGGATGCCAAAATACTTCACAGATCTCTTTTTATAAACTTCAATTGTACCTTTCTCAAAAGTTTATCAATCATGAAGAATTTGCTTTTTTTTTTTAAAGTGTCTTAAGTATTTAAGAGGATAGGTCTAGTCCTAAAACTAGTCCCCAGATGCCATCCAGTCTCATATCCTCATTTTACAGATGAGAAAACCAAAGGCTGATGAAATTAATGATTTTCCCAAGGTCACATAAGTCATGACAGAGATAACATTTGAACCCAGGTAGCTTCAGAACTAGTGTTCTTTTCATCATACCACAAAGATTGTTTTGGTGTTTTTTTAAAGAGAAAAATCGAAAGTTGTGTCTTTCACAATCAGAAAAATGGGTAAGCAGACATAGAATTGAAGATATATAAGTCACACAGGTAGTTAAGCATCTGAGAAGGGATTTGCACCCTCTTCCTCTCACTCCAAAGCCATTGTTCATTCCACTGAGTTATTCTCCAAAGCTCCAGTCAAAGGACATGAACAAAAGGTTTTAAATGAAATAGAAACGATCAATAAGCACCCAAAAAGTATTAAAAATCACTAATAATCAGAGAAAAGCAAATCAAATAAACTTGTTTTGTTATCTCACCCTAAAACTAGAAAAAAATGCTGAAAGATAGGAAAACATTTCTGGGAGGGCTGTGATAAGATAGATATGGGGCAGTAGGTGGTGCAGTGGACAGAGTAGCTGCTCTAGATTCAGGAGAACCTGAGTTCAAATCTGGCTTCAGAGACATAACACTTATTAGCTGTGTGACCCTGGGCAAGTCACTTAACCCCACTGCCTAACTAAAATAAATAAATAAATAAATAATGGGTCCGCTAATTTACTCCAATTGTAATTGTGAATTGGCTCACCCATTCTGGATAAATTTTAAATTATACAAGAAAAATTACTGCCTTGTTCACATGCTTTAACACAGAAAGTCACACTATTAGAATTCTTCAATTAAAAAGTATGAACCTTTAATAATTTGGTCGTTTAAGTAGGTTATCTGCAAGAAAAGTTTCCTAAGTCCATCTCTCAGATAGGATGTGATCAGGTTGGAATACTGCTGTGGTGTAGGAAATGATGAGCTGATTAAGAAAAACATAGAGAGACTTAGACTTATGAAAGAAGATGTTATTCACCTTCAGAGAAACAGATGATAGGAGGAAATAAGCATAGTATGACCTTACATATATGAGTATATATGTGTATATATGCATATTTATAGATATTTATGTATATATGTATGTGTGTATCCATGCTTAATTGTAGCCTTCTTTAGGGTGGTGGGGAGAGGTAAGGGGAAAAAAATAAATTAAAAAATACACAGCAGAGAACAAAAGAAAACCAACAAGGAAACAAAGAAAAGCTGGGCAGCTGTGAAAACAATGTGTAATATTTATTATATAGGAACAGAATATATTGGATCAGAAATGTATTGTTTTAGATTGAATCCTCTTTTATGGTCTGCTGTGTACATGGAAATTTTTTTTTTCTTTTCTCATTTTATATTTAAGTTTAAAATAAAAAAACTTACAAAAAAAGAAAAGGTTCATATGTAAATGTAATTACAGTTTCACTAGGCTCTTCCACAGACCCTACAGATATTATTACCGTATTTTTTACAAGCCAAACGGAAGGTTGAATAAAGAACAATTTAGATTTCCATCAGGTACTTTTCTCTACATAGTCATGGAGAATGTTTGTGTTTTATCTTTACTCTATGAGATTAACTATGGAGAGAACAAAGAGAAAAGTGAAGAGAAACCTCTTTCTTGTGAGAATTATTCTATTATTTTATGAAGAAATATGAAGTATCTATAAAAAACCAGTAGTTTATAGGGTGCTCCAAAGACATTACTTGTAAATAGAAGAAAAAGAAAAAGGGCTAACATGATTTATTTCTGGAGAAGCTGAAATTAACTTATCATTAGGAGAAATATTAAGAGGATTTTTGAGAGACTTCAATAGATATTTCAAATGACGGAATTGTTTTTCTGGAAGTGAAAAACCATCATTAATAAAAGATGGTCTAGTATGGGTTTGAAGTGACTCTAGCTGTGGATCTTTGATATGGACAAAATATTGCAAATAATTATACATTACTTTTAGTGTTGGTTTCATTTGTTAATGAATCATATATTTGGTAACCTTAATATTTATTTAATCATAGCAGATTAAGCGATTTAATATACAGAGATATATGAGTAACTCCTTTTGGGGAAAGCACTTTCTCTTGTTTATTCAGTAAATGACATTTAATGAAAACTAGTGGAAGATTGAGCTAACTGATTAATAGGAAAGAGGCTGCAAGTTTATTAATTAATAAGAAATATCAAAATATACCCCAGTTTCATTCTAGCACTAAGGATGATAAGAAGAAATATGGAAACACATCACATGGCAGGTGATGAGAAGTCACCTACAAGTCAAATGGTCAGTTCCCTAAACCTTGCCACACATAAACATGTTCATAGCTGCATTAAATTATTAAAAACAAAACAGAATCAAGTCAATATTCATAACAACAACAATAATGAAAATTAAAACAACACTAAAAGACAGCTACATTCAGATTAATTACATGACCAATTTTGGTTCCAGAGAACAGATCTTAGAAGTCTTAGAAGAGAGCTGGAAAAACTAGAAATAAACATGTGCACAACTATTGAGGAATAGCTGAACAAATTATGGAGTATATTTGTGCAAATATGAAGTATTCAGAGAAACAATACAGGGCCCAGACTGCAACAACTGAAAAAATGTAAATAAAATCAACATGGAGAAGCAACAAAACCCCAGGCATATAAACCATCTATGTTAATACTGTCAGACATGAAGGGCAAAGTCCTCAGCAATCGCTATACTTTTTTACCCATTAGAGGATGTTTTTATAAGCGACATTGTTTGTGTGTTTATTGGGAACTATCTTTTCTGTCAAAACAAAATGTATCAATCCATTTTTTAAACTTTTATTTATGTCTTGTGTTTTTACATCTCGGTTATTTCCTGATACACTCCCCTGTTAAGACATCTTCTAACAAAGAAAAAGAGTTTGGCAAACCCTGATGGTTACAGCAACCATAAATGAAACATTTTAAACTGGTGATTCCTCTTTTCCTAGTGAAAACAAGGACTTGTGTTTCAACAGTTCACTGGAACCAATATTGGTCATGTAATTAATCTGAATTTGGCTGCCTTTTAGTGTGGTTTTAATTCTAATCATGTATATTGTTCTGGTTCTGTTTGCTTTTAATAACTTTTTTTTTTGTAATTCTGAACTTGACTAACAACAACAAATACAAATACTTCCATATACAAAGAACAGAAAAAGAGGAATATATATGTATGTACATATAGTGAATCTCTATAACATATCACTTGTTTTTTAAGTATATAATAAATTGATCACATTAGTTTCAAAGCTGTCCTGTCTTTCTATGTCTCCCTCTGAACTCCCTGCTGTTGTATGCTATCATTAAAAAAAGTTTCAATGGCACTCTTTTTTTTTTTTATCATCACTCCCCTTTCCTCAATTTTTTAAATGCTCCTTTGCAACAAACAAGCACAGTCAAACAAAATAAATCCATACATTGGCTATGACTGAAAATGCATATAACTGATTTCCAGGGATAAAGAATGTACCCACCTCCTCACAAATAGGTTATAAACTAATATACAGAGTGAGACACACCACACTTTTGAACATGGCCAATAATGGTATTTTGTTTTGCTTGACTAAGCTTATTTGTTAAAAGGTATTTTTTTTCTTTTGAGGGAATGGTTTGAAAAGGAGAGAAAAATGTAATTTAAATTTAAAAAAATTTTAAAAAGTATGTAACATTCTGTCCCTTGGCTAACATCTATGAACTTCTAAAAAAAAAGTGATAACTATATATAATTGACTCCTTTGTAATCCTATGCTGTTTTATATATTTAAAAACATTATTCTAATAAGAGGTCTATAAGATCAACTAGATGCCCAAAGGGTCCATGACACAAAAGGTTAAGAATCCTGGATATAGTGTATCACCCTCTGTTGGGAGTTAAGTAGTATGCTTTGCCATAGGTCCTCTGGAGTCATCACTGATCATTGCAATAATATTCTATTACATTCATATGCCATAATTTGTTTGACCATCCCCAAATTGAAGGGTATCCCTTTAGTTTCTTTACCACAACAAAAATTGTTACTCTATATATTTTGGCACATATGCATTCTTTACCTCTTTTTTTAATTTTGGGGCAATATATTTAGTTAGTAGTGGTGCTTGTGGGGTCAACATTGGGTTCTGCTTATTTCATTCTGCATCATGTTCATTCAACTTTTCCTATGTTTCTCTGACTTCCTCATATTAGTAATTTCAGAAGACACAATAGTATTCCATTACATTCATTTACCACAATTTGTTCAGTGATTTGCCAATCAAGAGGAACCTACTTTGTTCCCAACTTTTTGCTATCACAAAAAGTTTTGCTATAAGAGGCAGCTAGGTGGCACAGTGGATAAAGCTCTAGCCTTCCAGTCAGGAGGACCTGAGTTCAAATCCAGGCTCAGACACTTGACACTTCCTAGCTGTGTGACCCTGGGCAAGTCACTTAACCTCATTGCCTAGCCAAAAAAAGTTTTGCTATGAATGTCTATGTATACACATACACACCCATCTGCATGTAAAAATACATATAAGGCTTTTTGTGTCTTTGACTTCCCTGATTTATATATCCAGTAATGAGATCACTGGATCAAAGGATGTGAAGTTTTCTAACTTTTTTTTTTTTGCCTAATCAGAGCTGATTTCCAGAATGGTTGACCAATTTACAACTCTACCAAGAATGTATTAGTGTGTCAGTCTTTCCAAATCTTCTCCAACATTAGTTTTTTCCCTCTTTTGTCATCTTTGACACTTTGATGGTTGATCACGGAATAAAACCTCAGAGTGGTTTAAATTTGTGTTTCTTTTACTATTGGTAATTTGGATGATTTTAATAAGGTTGTTGATTACGTGGACTTCTATTTAAAACTCTTTATCTTCTCGCCACTTATCTACTGGAGAATAGTTCTTGGTTTTATATATTTATGTCAATTCATTGTAAGTCTAAGGATAATATCTAAGGATAATAGACTTGTAAGGGATATTTGATGCAAAGATTTTTCTCACTAAATTCAATTTTTAAAAAGAAAATTGATGATGATTAGTAGAAGTAATAAATAATTTCATCACCCTCCAAAAAAATAAAATCTTTCTAATTTTTATATAAGTATTGAACTTTTAAGACAAAGTTGTATGACTTAAGTCATATAAATCTAAACTGCTTGTTCTAATTAGTATGTGTACATAGACACTCTTTGGTTTGTTTGTTTGTTTTTTTCTTTTTCATTTTAGGAGACAAGGTCAGTTGACCCTAGGGCAAAGTAAATCAGATCACTCTAAGTTCTAATCTTTGAGGGAAGGGGTACTATACTGCTGTGAAGATGGAGTAGGGGGTGGTTGTGGTGGTAATAGGTAACAGGCAAATATGTGAAGGAGGAGATGAATAACAGGTCTCTGAAGGATTATACCACCAAGTAGTGTTAAAAAAACACTACACTTAAATAATCACAAGTAAAGTCCCTACCCACTACCCAATCCTCACTTCCACTGTTATCCAAGCAACTTGAAGCTGGCCACCTAGCAAAACAGATTCCCTTTCGCCCTTCAACACACTCCTCTGAGGGTACGTACTGCCCTTCTGGGACATCTCTCCACTACCCACTTCTTTTACTTGATAACACTTCTTCCTAATCTTTACACTCTTATTTTCACTGAAGGAGGCTACTCTTGAGTATTTATTTGGATCAGATTTCTTCTTTAATATTCCAAGGATCCATGATTTCATTAATACTGATATTTCCCCCATCACTGTTGACTGTAATTCCTTGTGCCTTAGAAGTCATTTTATTGAGCTGCTATGGCCAAATAAATAAATAAAAATAGTCATTTGATAGCCAACTCTATAGTAATGATCCTTCTCAAATTTGGGTAGGCTGCCTTAGATGAGAGACGTAATAGTCTCCTAAAGCAAATTATAATCTATCACCACGTGAAGTCTTTCCATCTTGCTAAATAAGGCCTGCCAAATCAGAGTGGAAGCTTTGATGTTTGAGCACTCAGTGTCCCTTCCATGCCACAGTGAGGGACTGGTGTAAGATTTAAATCTGGAAGAACCAGATTTTATCCATATGAAGAAATCACAGGGCAGGCAATATACACAATCGGGTTTGTTTGCCACCCCTTAAGGACAGCCCTGGGTAATATAATCCCTAGCTGCAATGATCTTTGTTAATACAGAGAATTGTTTCTTTCACAGGGACTTAACAGAAAGGTTGCCTTTACAATTGTACACCTGAAAACATTGGCTGTGATTATGGGAACTGTTGTACTAACTAAATCACCCACAGTTCAGCATTATTATAGTTTTGCAGGAACTTTCTTGGACCCCAAGTCTAAATAAACCATGGTCAGTGGTAAAAATATAACATAACCAAGTCAGAAATCATTGCAAGGACCGTGATTAAAGTGCTAGAGTATGGTTAGATCCTTCTCCCGCTGGCCCACACTTGAGGAAGTCTTATTTCTCAATCCCTCTTCCCCTTTATCTTCATATGCACAGGATCAGAGGCTTTATAGCCTTAGTATTGGAAGGAACCTTGGAGGGGACCTATTCCAACCCCTCATTTTAGAGAGGAAGAAACTAAAGCCAGAGAAATTTTGATTTGTTCAAAGTCACATGGATATTAAGTGGCAGAGCTGGATTTGAAATCAAGCCTTCTGACCAAATTCTACATTTATATTGTACTATATTGATTTAAAAAAGGGGCAGGGGATTGGCTCTGTGATTCTGACAAAGTGATACCCTAGTACAATTTCTCAAACTATTTAGTCTCAGGACTCCTTTACATATTTAAAAATTATTGAGGACCCCAAAGAGTTTTTATGTGGGTTATATCTATTAATATTTACCATATTAGAAATTTAAATGTCTCAGTATTATTATAGAGGGGTAAGAGGGAATAAACATTTAATAAATACCTATTATGTGTCAAGTACTTTATGAATATTATCATATTAGATCCTTTATTTATTAATTTTTTTCTTCTTTTTCAGGCAATTGAGGTTAAGTGACTTGCCTAGGGTCACACAACTAGTAAGTGTCAAGTGTTTGGTCTGAGGCCGGATTTGAACTCAGGTCCTCCTGACTTCGGGGCCTGGAGCTCTATCCACTGCACCACCTAGCTGCCCCCTATTTACTAATGTATTTAGGAGAATAGTTTTGACCTGGTGAGTTTTGGGGACCCCATAGGGGTCCCTGGACCACGCTCTGGGGACCACTGATGTGGTTTAACTAATTTTCAATGAAGCATAAAATTAATAAATAATATATAATAAAATATATAATAATTTAAGAAATAATAAGTCAGTTCATCAACTCAACAAACATTTATTAAACCATTACCGTTTGCAAATATATATGCAGACCCTGGCTATAGATACCAAAATTTAGATAAGATACAGTCCTTGCCTTCATGGAGCTTACTTAGAATCTAGATAGGATACACATATACACACACACATATGAATAAATTATATAACAAAATATGCACGATAACATATTGTCATAAAAAGGTCTTGCAAAACAAAGTACTATGTAAGGTTTAGTGGGAGAAGATTATTACTGATGAAGGGAGATGGCATTTGAGTCAAGTTTTAAAAGCTGAGTAGCTGCATTATTATAAGTTGCAAGTTGCATTATCATAAGTATTACTTCAACCTGAAAAAAGGTGGGAGGGAGGACATTACAAGCATAGCAAACAGTATGTAGGCAAAAATTTGAGAATGGGAAAAGTGCAGGAAGTGTTTAGGGATCAGAATTTGGATTATAACTTGGAGTAAGCAAAATGAAGTAATGTGAAAATAAGCCTAGAAATAAAAGATAGGACCAGACTTTGTTGGATGGCCTTGAAAGCCAGGCTAAGGAGTTTAAACTTTATATACTAAAATTGTTGAGCAGTGGAGTGACATGAGCAGACTCATATCAGACCCAATGCTCTAATGCTGAGTAAAGTATGACCTGGTTGATACTTACCTTATAAGTATTCCAGAATTTCTGCCTCAGGTCCAAAAACTTATCCTCTTTCTTCTGAAGTATACTCATGCCTATTTATAAAAAACAAAACAAAACAAAACATACAATAGGAATTTTTAAAGGCCTAATTATAGATTTTATCATATTGCACATTTTTCTTGTTCAGTCATGTCTGATTCTTCCTGACCCCTTTGGAGGTTTTCTTGGCAAAGATACTGGAGTGGTTTGCCATTTCCTTCTCCAGCTCATTTTACAGATGAGGAAACTGAGGTAAAGAGGGCTAAGTGATCTGACCAGGGTCACCTAGCTAATAAGTGTCTGAGGCCAGAACTGAACTCAGGAAGATGATTCTGACTCCAGGCCTGGCTCTCTAACTACTGTGCCACTTAGCTGCCCATATTGTATGTTCCTACTGTATAAAAAGGGCAGCTAGATGGTACAGTGGACAGAATGCCAGGCCTGGAGTCAGGAAGACTCCCTTCCCAAAATAGGTTATGAAGAGTCAGACGTGGCTGAACAGGCTGAACAGCAACACTGTACAAGAAACAAAAGCTACTCACTTCTCCCAACAGTGTACATGGTAAGTGACACTTTGACTTAAAAAAGGATTTGGAGTGGCCTAGAAACTGCAAGCTGCATTGTCATAAGTATTACAAACAGAATTTAGAAGCCAGGAATCCGCATTGCCTTTTTGACAGGTTCTTTACAAACCATATTCTTCCACAGCCGGGAAAAGTTGGACTTCTCCATTTTATAAAAGATAAAAATGAAATTCCAATAGCATGCTTTTAGGTAAATTGGGGCCAAATTCTTAATCTAGATATGTAAAAGCAAAATCAAGACGCCTCAGAAACACTTTTAAATGACAACAATTCAGCCAAAAAGATGAAGACCATCTATCTCAAACATCCCATTTCTTGCATTTTGATATACCCTGTGCTACTTCATCAAACAGCCCATTTTTAGTCTGTGGGCCCTAGGCTTTCCACTTCTGAGGCCCAGGTTTTCTCATTTTGGTCTGGTTTCTTTTGTCTGTAGTTCAACTGCCAGGATTGTAAGGAGTGCTGTCTCCCTCCTGAGACAAAGCCTTGCATTTGGGACCAACTTCTGACCCAGATTCTGTAAGGGCTCAATGTGAAATAGTGTGAGGAAGGATGGAGTTCACTAAGGGTGCTGCCGTGAACAGTAAAATTCAGCAGCTTTGTGTGTGCATACTATCTGGGTGTATATATGCCTATTTGTTAAACCTTCTGTTTTCTGTTTTATGCAACCACTCTGGGTGAATCCAGAGAGTCAAGAGGGAGGAAGGGAGGTCACTAAATATGGAGACATTCATCACCAAGATGTATAGCTGTGGGTTTTGTGTGTGATAATTTTTTTTCCTGCAACCACTCCCTCGGAGTCAAAGTCAGAGTCAGAGAAGTGGCTATATTTTCCGGTGGGAGAACCACAATGAAATGGTTGTCTGTCCATGCACATGTGAGCGTTGTGAAAAATCTTTTGTTTCCCTATTTTCTGCAACCAGGTCGCTAGCTACATTTTCCGAAGTGATCCACAAAGATAAATGGGTTGCATGCGGTATGTGTACGTTCATGTGTGTATATGTATGTCCACGGGTTGCATTTGTATGAATGAAATCTTTTGTTTCATTTTTTGCCATCCCTTTCCAAGAGCAGGATGGAGGTTGCTACATATTCTGGTGGTAACACACCACATATTCGTGCTGTGAGTGTTCGCCATACAATGTAAGGCGCCGGTGTGCATGTTGTGTTTGTGTGGACATGAAACCTTTTGTTTTCCCGTTTTCTGCAACTGTTCCCCAAAAGCAGAAAGGAGGGTCGATACGTTTTCGAGTATGCACCACAGCAAGACATGGTGGTCTGGGTGGGGGTGGAGGTGGGGGGGGGGGGGGGGGGGGGGGGGGAGATTCGTGTGCGTGAAATCTGCTTCCCCGTTTTCTACAAGCATTGCCTGAAAGCAGAAAGGATGTAGCTTGTTTTCGGGCATGGACCATATGGTTTATGTGTGCGTGTGCGTGTGACATTTTGTGGCCCGTTTCCAAAGGAAAGCAGCCGGCTGAGCGGCGCTGGCACCTCCTTGAGGCAGGCTCCTCGTGGTCACGCCGGCCCGCCCCGATGCCCCAAGGGGCCGCCTCCTGCCGGGCCGGCCTACCGGCCCCCGCAGCGCGGCCCCGCGTCCCGCCTCGCTCCCGGCCCAGCCTGTCCGCCCCGGCGAGCCCTCACCGATGTAGAAACCGCTCAGCGCGATGGGCCCGCCCAGCAGCTGGTCACACAACAACTTGGTCAGCACGGTACGCGGCGCGCGGCCCGGCAGCGCGCGCTCCAGGAGCTGCATCCACATGTAGTTGAAGTTCCCGTGGAAGCCGATGGCCACGGTGGCCACGCGCCGAGTTTGCTGCCAGTCGGGCTCGCAGCCCCGCGCCAGCTGCTGCAGCGCGTCCCCAGACGAGTACAGAACCCCGTAGAGCAGCACATTGGTGGGCCACGGGTAACGCTGGACTATGCGCGGCACCTCCCGCCACCAGCCCCACATCGCCGGCCTCCTTCGCCCCCAGCTCAACCCCCACTGGCTGGCTTGGTGCGCGTCCCCTCCGCCCACCCCGAGCTGCGTGACAGCGCCTCGGTGGAGACGCCGGTGTGGGCGGGAAGTGGACTTATAGCCGCGTCCTTCCACGCACTCTAGGGCACAACCACTAGCGACAGTCAGGGCTCCCTCTTGTCTTTCGGCTGCTTGGCTGGACCTACTGGAGCTACCTGCCGTCAGATCCGCCTCCCTCCGTCGGCTGCTATTGATGTATGCCCCAGGCCAGACCTGCCCCTTCTTAGACCTGCCTCCCTAGGTCGATTCACTCCTATCAGAGCTGCCCCGGCCACATCTAGCTTCCATTAGACCTTTACCCCTTTCTCAGCTGCTGCTCAGGCTCCTGGACTAGCTGCCCTTTCAGACTTTGCCACTTCCCTAATTTTGCTATGCATGCGCGCCCTCCTCGATCCTTTTCCTGACTTGAACCCCACTCTGTCTATCTTGTAGTCTTTGGGAGACATATCCTTTTATCCTTCACCTTCTTCCCTCCTCTTCAGTTCTGCCAAGTCTTGCCTCTGGTCCATTCCTGACCGCACACCTCTCCATTACCGCAGTGTCTTGCTTTCCTTTCTTAATCACTTTCCTTTAGCCATTCCCTTTGAAGCTGTTGTAACCTACACCTTCTGCCCTGTCAATTCCTGGCTCCACGACTTCCCACTTGCTTCATTTCTTGACACCTTCTACTCCTTTTTAAATCATTCACCTTTGGCCACTCGCTTTCAAGCTGTGATCACCTAAATAGACTACTTTGTCAGAATAGAGCCCAGGATTGGCTGAGCCACTCAAATCTTCTGACTCTATGAATAAAATGGGCAATGACAGAAACATAAATATTAATACTCAGTACTACTAACTGTATATAGCAATTGTTGTTGGATAGTTGTGTGTGGATATGTAGCTTATGTGTGTCCACATGACCCATCTCTCTGGATATGGCTCACAAGTATGAATAGATATCTTAAGTTGCCTCCACCCTCTCTTCTCCAAGGGAATCTTTGATTCCTGCCGGGAGGGCAAGCAAGAGATTATCAATGTGAAATACCTAGCATGGCCCTAAAACAACAAAAGACATTTTAAGAAACATTTTTATTTCATCATTTGTGAAAAGCTCTCATCGAGAATCCTCAGGAAATAATTAGTCAATGCCATCCTGTATGAAAATCACTGACCAATGGAAAATTACAGGAAAAGACACTTTTGCACTAAAATATAGAAGAGGAGTGTTTCACTCAGAAATCTTTCAACTTGGGAATGTTTTTCAATTTATGACTAAGGATCCCATTAAAATACATTAAAATTTTTTCATTAATTTTTAAACTATTACCTAATCTTGAATTGAGACTTAATATAAGCTGCCAAACTGACTATATTACCTAATTATTAACTTTTTTCACTGAAATCTGAATCTTCCTTTGGCATACAGAAACCTCTGAGAGGGAAGGGGAAGGGAGCAACCATTTATTAGATGCCTACTGTGTGCCAGAGCTTTAGAGATGTAAAGCACTAGTGTGTTAAGCAACCAGCAGACTTGTATTTTCCACTAGGTGGAAGGAACATTTGCTCAGAGATGGGCAATTAGGAGGCCTACAAAAAGAGAAGAGACATTAATGCTTCTTTCTCACCACTGGTATTCTTTAATGTATACAGCTTACATCTCTATTGTTTGATATTAGCATGGGTTTACTATTAATCTGATGCTCTGGACTACAGGGGAGGGAGTTGAAATAAGGAACTTTTCCCCCTTGTCCTGATATAGGGATAGATAACAAGCTGGGGAGGAAAGGTAACACGATTCTCCCTAGTTCAAACTTTCTTCACCTATATCTTTATTCTACATTTAAATACTTCTCTCCCTCCCAATCTTAGGATCAATCAATCTTATCAATCAAAGGGAACTGTTGGGGTAGGGTGGAGAGCAGAGTGGGAGGAATATGGTAATCAATGAATCCAAGAGCAGAGAAAGATCATGGTTCTTCTGGTGATAATGGGAATAGTGACACCAAGGAAGAGGGGATCCACCATGCCCAAGATGCACTAGTGCCTTACATTCTTTGGCCTTGTTTATAAGGACTATAAGTTCCTGAGTAGGATCAGTGTGCTTTGGTTCTGATTTGAAGAAACCATATCTAGAGATTCAATCTTCACGACCCCACCAATTCTTATTCTTAATAGTGGTAAATAATGTTGTGTAATGGATGGCACAATTATGTTACTTTCAGGCCTAACCCTATTAGCTTAGAAAAAAAAAACGACTCTTTGTCTTGCTATCAGTACCTTTTATTGTAATTGATGGTTCAGAATTTTTCATAGTAGAATGTAGAGATACAATCAAATGATTACTTAGTGCCAAGGGCATTTGCATTGTTCAAATGCATCACAGTACTTTGAAACCATACTATTTAGTACTTAAAATAAATATTTAAGGTAAATGGGAGGCAGGATGGTAAAGCAGGAAGACAACTGCCAAACAACTCCAGAGTCAGAGGACCTGGCTTTAAGTATGATCTTCAAAAGTATGACCTTGAGCAAGTTACTTTCAGTCCCTGGGCCTTAGTTTCCTCATCTATAAAGGAAAGAGGTTGGACTAGATAGGTTCTGAGGTCCTGTCTGGTTCTATATCTAAAATCTTCTGACTGATCCTTTGGTTCAGGAAGCTCACTTCCATTAGCATGAAATGAAGTGGTAGAGAACCTTAACTTGGATCCATATGGGCAATCAATTGGATTTGTCTTATTACATTTCTATTGCTGGACTTCATGTTCAAAATATCCTTATATAATATTCAAAAATTTCATAAAGATGAACCCATAAAATCAAATTAGAAGAAAACTGATACTAAAAGTAGTAATTCTAATGGGGAGGGGGAGATAGCCTTTTATATATGCAGAAATGCTACCAAATGCAAATCTTTAATATGAATTTTTTGGGGACTAGCCTATGATTTAAATAGTATGGGAAACCTCCCAATGAAGAGTTGCCCTTGCCAATGAGGGGGAACTGCTATGTAATTTATAGTCTTAGAAGAGGCGGCATTGCATAACATATTAGGTATGTGACACCAGACAAGTCACTTACCTTGTCAGTGCCCCCAGGCATCTCTGCCCCATAACAAATTATAATTAACAAATAATTCAGATAAAAATTTATCCTCATGTATGACTCTTAAAATTACTAGAAGAATGTTAATAATTAATAGAGGGAAAGTATGCATACGTTGCTTAAAATTTTGGAACTTAAAAAGATTTGATAGGTCATCTGGTCATAGAGAAGATTTAGTGCTAAGATAAGTATTTTTGTAAGTGAGAGAAGTCCCTGATCAAATAACCAACAGATTATAGGCCATTGAGAGTCTCCAATCAAGCTGAAGAAATTTCTTACCTCATATTGGCCCTGTCTGTTGTGGCCTAGAAAAGCAAGCTGGCCCCTCTTGGGGTTAATTAAGAAAATACTCAACTCTTTAGACCCCTCTCACATCTTTAAGACTTTCCTGGATGGCTCTTGCAGAATGTAACAAAAATCAAGAGGAGATTTCTTGATCCAACCATTCTGGAGAGCAATTTGGAACTATGCAATTTGGAACAATTTGGAAAATGTGCATACTCTTTGACACGCCAATACCACTTCTAGGGCTGTATCCCAAAGAGATCATAAAAATGGGAAAGGACCCACATGTACAAAAATATTTATAGCAGCTCTTTTTGTCGTGGCCAAGAATTGGAAATTGAGGGGATGCCCATCAATTGGGGAATGGCTGAAAAAGTTGTGGTATATGAATGTAATGGAATATTATTGTGCTATAAGAAATGATAAGCAGACAGACTTCAGAAAAACCTGGAAACACTTGTATGGTCTGATGCTGAGTGAAGTGAGCAGAACCAGGAGAATGTTGTACACAATAATAGCCACATTGTGAGATGACTAACTTTGACAGACTTAGCCCTTCTCAGCAATGCAAGGGTATAAGACATCTCCAAAAGTCTCATGATGGAAAATGTTATCCACATCCAAAGAAAGAACTATAAAATTTGAATACACATCGAAGCATACTCTTAGCAATTTTTTTCCCTTCTGTTTTGTTTTGTTTTCTCTTTCTTGTGGTTCCTCCTATTGGTTCTGATTCTTCCTTACAACATGACTAATATGAAAAAAAAAAAGAGAGGGGATTTTTTTCTCCTCCCTATGCCCCTACATTGTCAAAGATATCTCTTGACAGAAGTATGTGGCTATATGGGATATGAGCTTGCATGTAACCTGAGAAAGTAATTCAAGGTCATGATTTCCCAAATTCCATTCTGCTATGGAAAAATTAGAGGAGAGAGAATTTGGTGCCTAGAGTAGGGATCCAGCTGATCAAAAGATGGAAGGCCTAGAGAGCTTAGCCTTGAGGGAACAGAACCAGGGAAGCTTTCCTTTGAACCCAGAATAAAGGTGCTGGTTCTTTCTGAAAGTTCCTCCCAATGTCCTAGACAAAGATTTCAGCTTAGCCAGGAGCCAGAGGATGTGGAGACTAAGCCAATCAGTGAACCAGTGTGGGTTACAATGATTCCAGGGAAGCAATACACCCAACCAACTAAAAGAAACAGTAAAAGCACATCAAAAGAGGATATCATTTATGGGGGTTGGGAAGAGGGAGAATATTCTATTGTAAATCTTCTTACTATGTTATTCTAACAAATGCCTTTGCTTTAAGGTAATTGAGTTCTCTGGCTGACTGTTGAAAGGCAAACATATTGGTGGGGGCTTATGAGCAATAGTTTTATCAATTTATACCCATAGTGTATCTTGAATGAGAGGTAATTGTCCTTTGAGGGACCCAGCCTTTGAGAATGAGTTGGGAGGAAACCCAGAGGGATGTTACATATTATAATAATGTAAATGATTCTGAAATGAATAATGGTATTTTTAAAAAAATTATAATAGTTACATCCTAAAATGCCATAATTCAATTT